CCACCCCATCCCCCACCCCACCCCCCCACCCCCCACCCCCCACCGATTAGAAACCCACCCCCCCCCAACCCCTACCACCAAACCCCCCAGCCCCCCCCTGCCCTACCCCACCCGCTGCCACCCGCCGATGAGACAACGATAAAGGGTCCAGTACACGCCCGCCCTCTCGCCCTTCCCGCCTCTCCCCACCCCCCCCTCTCACCCCCCCACCCCCCTTCGCTTCCCCCCCCCCCTCACCCACCCTCCCGCACTGCTCCCCTCCCTGTTTGTTCCCCGTGTTTTTTTTGGGGCCTTCCCCCATCCCTGCCCTGACCGCAACTCTTCACTCCATTCCTCTGTCCCAGCCACGCCCCTCACATCCCGCGCAAACCTACCCTCTAAACCCCCCACTCCCCCCGCCCTACCCCACCCGCTGCCGACCCCCCCCTCCGCCAAGACCTCCCCTCACGGATGAGGCAATCATTTACAGGGTCCTTCCACCCCCCTCCCCCACCCCATCCCCCGCCCCCCTACCCTTCCCCTTCCCAACCATTCCACTCCTCCTGCCCTGCCCCTCTCCTCTCCCTCCCCACCCGTCCTCCTCCCCCCCGTCCCTGACCTCCCACCCCACACACACCCACCTCACACGCCACTTCCCCCCACCCCCCCTCTGGCCCCGCCACCCCCCCTCCCCAGCCGCGCCCTGCCCCTCCTCAATCCCTCACCCACTGCGTTCTCCAAACCCCCCCCCTCCGCCTGTACCCCCCTCGCCGATGCCCTCTACCCAACCATTCCACTCCCTTCCCCTGCCCCTCTTCCTCAGTACCCTTCCCCTTTCCAACCCCATCCCTGCCCCTCTCCTTTCCCTCCCCCCTCCCCCACCCGCCACAACCCCCCCTGCCCTACCCCACCCGCTGCCGACCCGCTGCCCTCGCATACCCCCGCCTTCGCCCACCCTCTGCCCCCCCACTCCCCCCCTCCCCAGCCCCGACCCCCCCAACACCCCACCACCCCCCCAAATACCATCCCCTCGCCCCCCGCCCACACCCGGCCATACCACACCCCTCCCCACACCCCTTCCCGCCCCCCCCACCATCCACCCTTCCCACCACTGTTTTTACCCCCCCATTGCTTTAAGGTTCCAACACACAGTCTTCCACCCACTAATCTTTGCATCTTGCATCTTGCATCTCTCTCAAGCCCGCTCCCCTAATCCACCCTCCTCTCACCCCCACCTACTATTCCGCCCTAGCGCTCACATACCCCTTTCACCACGACTTCGCCTGCAGCGACGGTGAATCGGTGTCCACATTTCCGCCGGTTGTCGATGCGTCCGTCTCGCGTGGTTGATTCGACCGGCGCCTTGCACTGTGGGCACTCGTACGAATAGACTCTACCTGCCAAGGCAGCCGCCACGACTTCGCCTGCAGCAACCACGAACTGGTGTCCACATTTCCGTCGGCTGTCGATGCATCCGTCTCGCGTGGTTGATTGCACCTTTGCCTTGCACTGTGGGCACTCGTACGAATAGACTCTACCTGCCAAGGCAGCCGCCACGACTTCGCCTGCAGCAACCACGAACTGGTGTCCACATTTCCGGCGGCTGTCGACGCATCCGTCTCGCGTGGTTGATTGCACCGTTGCCTTGCACTGTGGGCACTCGTACGAATAGACTCTACCTGCCAAGGCAGCCGCCACGACTTCGCCTGCGGCAACCACGAACTGGTGTCCACATTTCCGTCGGCTGTCGATTTTTCCGTCTCGCGTGGCTGATGCGATCTTCGCTTGACACTGCGGGCACTCGTAAGAGTATTTTCTCTTGCTGCCAGCCATCGTCGGCACGAGCTGCCCTTCCAGGGCTGTCAAGCGATGTCCGCATGCGCACCGACTGTCTACACTGCCGTCTCTTACGTCCGCCGCGATGGCTGCGCGGCAGGCCGGGCAACGATAGACGACAGGCGCGCGCTCGGAGGGCATGACCGGACGTCCTCCATCGTCACGCAAACACTCGCCCTCCGACGGAAATGGTCTCGGCGCCGCCATGTCTTTGTTGGCACTCACGCTGCGTGCTGCGCTCGACTGACGCTTCTCTTCTGTTGTCCCGCCCGCCTGGGCCGCCTGGGAACCGCACTGCGCGCAGGTGCCTTGCTTTTGCCGTTTCTGGATTTCGGCTCGCACCTCTTGCAGAATCTGCTGCCTCTTCTGGCAGCGGTCAGCACTGCGCACCTTTTCCCGTCGTTCATGCAGCCTGCGGCGCGCGCGCAGGCCGATGTCCTGGCACCGTAGCTGCTGGCGGCAAACATTGCATGTCCGGTCTCGTTTTTGGCGCCAGCCATTCGGCGTGAATGCCTCCTGCTGAAACCAGTGCTGGCAAGTGCCACATTGTCGCTTTTCCAAGCACATGAGGCAGGTGCTTTGCCAGATCAGATAATTGCTGATTTTCCCGGGAAATGCCTCCGGTGCCTGCCATCGCTTGCAGCGCCTACAGCGGTACGGCGCGCCGCGCTCTCGGTACGACTTCGTGCACTCCCTGCAAATGGCTACCTCTTCCGGCTGCTTCCATTGCCCTGCTGTAAAAGCCGATTTCAACCGCTCCGTGCGACACTCGCTACAGGTCTTCACTCGCACGCACCTCTGTACGATGGCGTCCCAGTTGACGTCGTGCGTGCGCAAGTGCTGCATGAGCAGAGCTCGGAAGCTTCTGTCGCCCTGTTGGAACGGAGCTGCATCAAAGCTTCGCAGAATGAGAATGCCTTCCCGACTCGTCACCCGCGTCAAGGCAACATACGCGGCCAAGACGTTGCTGTACGCGCCATAACACAAATCTGCGATGATGCCCTCCTCCAGCGTCTGTCCTTGCGCTTGATGAGCCGTCATAGCGAAAGCTGGTATTAGGGGAAGTTGCCGTCGCCGCACGGCCAGCACCGGCGATTTTCGGCCGGCGTCCAGATGCCACGTCGCACGTTTTGGCACGATGGGATACACGCCCGTGGCCAGCCCATGAATGCGCCACTTCGCGCCCGGAAAGCGAACGTAGACCACCTCGGGCAGCTTGTTCCACACCGTGCAGGCAGGCCCTCCCGACTCAGCACCGTCGGTGGCGTGCCGCCAACCCGTCACAAAGCCTCGCCGCCCTTTGAGGAGCCCGCGCGCCCGGTTGAGATGGTCAGTTATGAGCACGGGCATGCCGTCACACAGAGGCAGCATGCCACACAGCTCGCCGCACTCTCTCTCGTGGCGCTGCAGCCAGAGTAGTTTTTGGTCGGCTAGGTCCGGTTTCTCACGCACAACGGCTGCACAGGCGCGGTCCTCGGCCACGACGTAGTGCAGGTGTCTTTTCGTCCGGCGCGCGAAGGCCTCCGCGCGGATTTTATTCGTGTGGCATTTTCGTACGTTCGTGGCGAAGATAGAGGGCGCGAGGACAAAGCGACCCAGGAACTTCGGATCGTGCGGCGAGTCTGCCACCAGTCGCCGCGAGGCGCGCTCGGTGCGACACACCTCGCACTCCTGCGCGAGGATGCTTTGCGGCTGCGCCTTCAGCGCGCCGAGGCGTTGGCACGTTGCTTGTCCGCACTCAGCTCGCCCCCGCAGCCAGCTCCCTGGCACGTGCGTTGGTTTGCCATGCAGGAAGGCATGGTTGTCCGTCGTCAGATTGCCGAAGCGGAACTCGTCCTGCAGTTCTTTCAACCACTCGTCTTTAGTGCGCTCGCATTCTTCGAGCTCCGTGCAACCCTGGAAAGCCCGATCCGGCGGTCCCCACATGAGCTCCTGCCCCTGTGCCAGGAGGGGCCGCTGCCGCGCGCCTGCGCTGCCCAGCCATTCGTGCGGCAGATCGGCGATGAAGTGTCCTTTAGGGGGCTCCAGCTGCCACAAATCCCCAACGACAAGAACGTTCAAGCCGCCAAAAGGCTTGTCGATGTTGGCTGTGTCGCGCTTGAACGGGCTTCCATTCCGAATCACACGCCGACAGGCTTGCTCTAATTTTGCCAACAGCTCCACACTCACCATGCTTATTTCGTCTATTATAAGCCAGCGCAATTGTAGCATGCGCTGTGCTTGCTGCAGGCCTTTCGTCAGGGGCGTGGCGTCCGCGGCGCTTTGGCCCCAGCTCAGCCCGAAGGCATGGTGCAACGTGTCCCCATCGACCATTTCGGCTGTTACCGCCTGCAGCGCCGCGAATTGGAACTGCAGGCCTTGGGTCCAGCCCAGGATGTCCTCGAAGAGCTCCTTGCGCAGCAGTTTGATCGCGTGCGTTTTGCCGGTGCCGGGCCCACCGTGCAGCACCCAACGCATGGCGTCCGACAGGCCGGCGCGCGCGCCGCTCTGCGCCTCGCCTGTCTGCATCTCTTCCACGACCCTGCGCGCCACCCGCTCGATGAAGGCGTGCTGCGCCGTGTTGCAGACTGCCCTCCCCTTCTCGTCGACCCGACCGCGCAACTCTGTGATCCACTCGTTGACAGCGTGCACTGTCGCGCGGACGCCGCGCGTGCGTGCTCTCGGCTCGCGCTCGGTCTCTTGCCCCGCGAGGAGGCCAGTCTCGTCCACTGCGCCATGCTGCGGCGCCCTCCGCGCTTCCTTCAACAAGTCACGCACGTCCAACGTATTCTCTGTGGCCAGCGCGCGTCCCGGCTTTCCTTTCTCTGTTGTTTGCTTTGTTCTCCACGTCCGCTCCAGGTCTTCGTACTCTCCGGCCGGCGCCTCCACCCCGTTTTTTTCTGTTTTGCGCGTGGTCAGGCTCGTAGCCAGATTGTCCGCAGTCACGCGCACGGCAGTCGTGTCTGCGCCGTCGTTGTCACTGTTCTCGGCGTCCGCAGCGAGAGAGCGTACGCGGTACACGGACAGGAAATTCCCAACGTGCTGTTTCGTTTCCTGACACGGAAGCTCTTGTAGCCAGGCCCGAAAGGCCGTCTCCCACGCGAGGTAGCTGCCCTGCAAGTCGGCTATATGAGGCACGTCGCGGTCCGCATGCTGGGGCATGCCCGTCCACGCCCGAAAATACACCATGCATAGTTTGGAGTTCTCCTCCTGGCATTCTTGCTGGTACCGCGGCACCGGGCAGTGGCCGAAGGTCGGGCAGCGCGGGCGGCGGCGTCTGCGCAGCAGCCATGCCGCACGTACGCGCGCGTTCGTGGGGATGTCCTCGAAGGCCTGGGTGTCGCCGCTGGGTTCGACGCGCAGGCGCGTATCCTTGCCGGGCCCGAGGCGCACGCGCTTGCCCCCCCCTGCTCGAAGCTTTGCCTCGCCGCTCTCCGTCAGCGCCACGTCCCATGCGCTACGGGGCTGCGTCTCCCACTCCTGTAAAGTGGCCGGCGATTTCGTAGGAACGACCTGCCAGTACAGCAGAAATTCGTAGGGAGAGAGATGCCAGCAAGCGCTGTTGCGAGGACGCCGCGCGTAGAACTCTGCTGGTTCGCGTTCCGCCAGCTGCCGCTGTCGCGGCACGTGCTTGCTGCGGCCCAGCGACATCGCCGTCACCCGCCGGCGGTGTTCCGTTTCGCCGGTCATCGCCAAGTCTGCGTAACGAAGGAAATCTCGTCCGGGAAATGTCACATACTGCGTTGTCGTGATTCTTTCCGCGCACGCCGCGTCGCCGTCCTTGTAGTTGCAGCGCAGATTGCAGCACTCAGCCTGCCCTCGCACGATCCCCTTGCAATACGCATCCGATAGAAAGCGCGTCATGTGCCGCTTCCCCTGGTACTCCACACCGCGACCCTTTGTTTGTTCTGCTAAGCGAGCATGCCCCTTTTGGAGCTCCTTCAGTTCGGCGAAGGCCATGGGTTGCGTTTTCGCGCAGTAGTCGCAGCAGTAGCCAGTCTGGGCATCTTGCGCGCGTTGCGCTGCCGCTACAATCTCCCGAAGCTCGCGCGGCTCCGTCGGTGATTGGCAGACATCGCAGACGTACGGTAAGCGGTACGGGAGTTGCACGTCAGAGTTGCACCGACCAAATGCTAAAATGGCGGGATGCGTCCCGTTGAGGTAGCCTTCGTCACGAGGCCCCTGAAGCGTGCAAATGCAATTCTTGCGTCCGGACGCGGGCATATCGCGTGCTTGCAGACGGCATGGGCACATGACGGCTGCCTCGTCCGTTACCTCGGCTTCCCGCGGAAAACCGCTTTTGCAGTCGCGAGGGTTATCAGCTTTCAGGCAACCTGCTTGGGGCACGCGCTCGCCTGTGACGGGGTCTGGCAGGTGCACGTGATGCTGCTTTAGTACCTGTAGGCGGAACATGTCATCACGCAAATATGCTTCTGTCCACAGATCTGCCTCCTCCGCGCTGTTTTCTGCGGCCATGACACCAGTTTGGTACCGTGGCCGGCTGATAAGCCGCTGCTCCGATTTGTATTCCGGCCACTGCTGTTCTGCTGCATGTATCGCTGCCGCAACCTCCACGGGATCTCTTTCGTACACGCACCTGCGCACGTGTGAGTTGTAGCGCAGGTAGGCTTCGCGCAGTTCCGCCGCGCGCTCGGCTGTTGCCGCGAAAATCTCGTGCAGACTGGTGTGTTGATGCAAACACTGCACGAACAACTGCATATGCCCGTGCGGCGAGCCTGCAGATTTCTGAAACTCGATGCTTATGTATGCCGTGTCGATTCTTCCGAACACGCCGCCGTTCGTTCGCGCGCTGCTACCGCGCTCGTCTTGGCACGGCGTCGGTCCGCAGCTGCAGTCTGGGCAGTACAAGCACACATTCACGCCGAACAGGTGTCGCAACAACAGTAGCATTGTGACGCGAAACCCATCCACGGTCGCGAGCGGATCCCGTGCGAGAATGCGGCGTCTTTCCTCCCAGTTCGGCACGCGCGGCTGCAGACACTCCACTGGCAAGGAGCATGTGAAGTCGGCGTCAAGCGCGGGCCACGTCCGATCTCCTGCGGCGGCCGCCGCGCCAACTTCCGACAGTCGAATCGGGTCGCTCCGGCGATGACGCGACAAGCGAATGTACAAAAGCTGATGACCTTCGTCCGGAGTTACGGTAACGAAAATTGGGGTTCCGTATCGCACTCGCAGTCCTTGAATTTCAAAGCGCATTTGTCGGCGTGCTTCTTGCGTGCCAGGAATGACACGTGCCGTGTGGTGCATGTTTGCCAGGATGCGGCGGGCCGTCGCGGACAACCCCGTCGCGTACTTGGCGAGCGTGAGGCTTCCTTTGACGGGGAGCCGCCGTCCGTCCGGCGTTGCGTACGTCCCTTGCAAGGCTCGCAGGATCTCCAGGGCAGCGCCTTCGAGCGCTGCGGCTGTCAGCTTACCCCACTCACCGGAATCCTGCAGAACTGGCGTATCGTAGGAGTAGACACTGCGCGACAAGTTCACAGCGGAACGAAATAACACATTCCACGTCGTGTAGCCGAATGTCCAATCTCGGACCAATTGGCTTTCAACGCGCCGGGACATTGTCCGAACCCAGTCGGCAAGCCCGATGTGTGGGGCCTCTGGCGCGCGACGCCACCGTTTGTCTCGGAACTCTCCCCAGCCTGGCGGATCAGGCATAGCTGTGCAGTACTGGAACATATACGCGAACGCGACACCGAAGTACGGGCGCGAACTGGTTCATGGGCGTGGACCGTGATACCACATCCATCTCCGGAGCCGGTCCGTCCTCTTGCTCGCTACCCACGTCTCGCAAGTCCTCTTCGGCAATCTCCGCCAGCGCACGCACAGCCTCTAAACGCTGGGCCTCGTAGTCGATAGCTTCCAAACCCGTCCTTTCCATGACCACCGCGTTGGGGCGCTTCAGGGCCAAGTCCCGCGCTGCTTCTTGCACCGTTGCCGGCACTGCCACCGGCGCAGCAACTTTTTGTTTCTCGATCAGTTGCAGGTTGTCGTCGCACGGGAGCACGGCTACGACTTCGGGCGGGACACCATCCTCGGGCAGCTCTCGCTCCGCTCGTAGCCGCACCTGAGCAAGGTCCAGGTGGCGGAACGCCGGATGCTCTCTCTCGCATGCTTTTTCAATCAGCATGACAACAACGCGACGCCGAACCCGGGCCTGGTGGATCAGCTTGCTAAGCTCCTCCGGCGTCAGCTCCGCATCGTTGGTCTTCAATATCACAGACACAAATTTCTGCAGGTCCTCCCCTGTGCGCGGCAACGGGGCTCGGGCGTGTGGTGCCAGATTCACTTCGTAGCCGCGGAACTGAGCCAGCAGGCTTTCCCAGTCCAGCAAGAAAGTTGTCGCGTTTCCGCGCGCTCCTTGCCGATGTCGTTGCATGTGCACGCGCTCATCCAGCGTTCGTCGATCCCTGTACTTCTTTTCCAGACTGAAGCAAATCAAGCTCGTCATGCACGGGCTTGCACACACTAGCTCCATCATCGTCACGTTGAATTCGTAGAGCTCGCGCGGTGCATAGTACACGACCATGTCATTGGCAAGTGCTTCCTTGGGCAGCTCACCCTTGCTGCTGAGGCTTAAGGGGCAGGATATTCTAGCAGTATGAACCCCAAATAGGCTGAAACCTGCACCACGGGTGCGTTTAGGGGCGCTCCCTAAACGCACTCGCTTGGGGTTTAAGGGTTAAGGGGCATGATATTCTATTAACCAGATTATCCCTTTCGCGGCGCCTTCCGCCGTGCATTCGCGGGCCTTTCGCGGATACTAAAAAACAAGCAGAAATCTATCTAAAATATTCCCCAGTAAAAAAAAAAGACAGGGGTTTGCGGATAACGCCCATATACATATGTTACATATTGCATCTTGCGTGCCGGAACCCCCCCCCCCTTCCCAGCCAAGTACACCGATACGCGTTTTCCCCCCCCCCCCCTCTCCAATACGCCGATACGCTAACCCCCCCCTCCCGGAAAGTACGCCGCTAAGCCGATACGCCGCTTCCCCCTCCTCCCCCCCGGAAATTGTACGCCATTCGCCCCCCCCCCCCCCCAAAGCCTCTGGGAAATATGCCCATGCGCCGATAAGCCGTTCTCCTCCCCCCCCCTGCCTTCCCCTCGAAATACACCAATACGCCGAGTCCCCCCCCCCCCCCCCCGACATACGCCGATACGCGACCCCTGCGGGGGCTTCCATCAGCAAGATTCCACGAGGAACAGGCGCAGGGAATACACAAGCACCCCTGACACCCGAAGCCGTCCAAAGCGCAAGCCCGGACGGCCTCGTGTTCACGTGACATCCTGCCGACGGAACCCTGCAGACCCCCCTCCACCCTGCCCCCTAGCCCTGGACCCTACACCCCGCACCGTCCGCCCGGCTGTGCTTCCCCTGTTGGGGGTCGGCGGCACTGGCGGTAGCCATTAAATATGAAACAATACTCATATGGCTAATAATATCATGTCTGTTTATCATGTTTAATAACATTAGCTGTGGCCTGTCGTGTCGATCGGTGGAAGGCAAAGCTGGCGGACGATCACAGCCTCCTCTCCTGCGGGGCAGGAGAACATCTCAGATCATGAATCAGATCATGAATCAGGGTTCGAAGTTGTGCCACTTGAAGTGAATGATTTCCTTAGCCTTCGGGAAAGGACTCCCAACGGCATCGGCTGAGTTTGCGAAGAGAAATTAAGAGGCGCCCCCCACGACCTTTGAGGGTCCTTCGTCCTTTGCCGCCTCGATGGCGCCGTAGTGCTTTCGCATGAACTCCGGGCCGAGCCCCTCTTCGTACACCTCGAAGTGGTCCATGTAGCCGTCCTGGTAGGAGGTGTAAAGGCCATACGAAACATCACATGAAACGTCAGTAAACATTCGGCATGGATTGGAGAATTCGGGTCGATGAAGCTGCTGCAGAACATGTTGCAACAGAAGCCAAGAAGCAAACTGCTGGTCAGTTTCCGCTGCCTGCAATTCAATGGCAGAATGCTGGCCTATGCTGCCCTGGCAGTACATGGCAGTACATCTGCTACTCCAAGAGCCCAGTCTATGTCAAACTGGGCCCTGACTTGCCTTTCCAATGATCAGGTACTGGTTCTCATTGTAAACGATGTCTTCCAACTCAGACCATGGGGTAGAGCTATCCTCGCGCATGGCGCACTTTGGCTGGTCTATCGAAAACAATCGGCAACAAGCCAAAACAGCCCGCAACAATGGAAAAGCAGCACGCAACCGACCAATGACGCCTCCACATCCTCAGGAAGTCCGTTCAAGTACAGCTGTGGGAAAGCACCCCCAACTCGCATAACCACCGCCTCGCTTCTGTGAAGAATGCGAAGAGGCAACAATGCAAAGTCATGGGCTTAACTTCACAGTTGCAAGCACTTGTGCCAATGCTCTCAAATGATCCGTCATGCCTCTGACGCTGCACCGCACCGTTTCACATGCGAGGCCAGCGGATACAATGATAGACAACTGAGTTGCAGACTACATGTGTCCTTGGCGACACAACACATCGTTTTCGCAACGCTACTGAAAACCAAAAAGGACACCACGAGCCACGAGCACCTTGGGCCTTTAAGAGACTCTGGGCCTGCGTTCGTCGCATTAAATGTATGAACTGCATGCCAGAAATCCACCGGTCCGCCCAGCGACCCTTAGCCTTGAACTCCGTGCTCACAGCACCGAGGCCGGCAGGCTGCCGTGTCCAGATCATCAGCCTGGCCTCGGTCACACGGGCTCCCGTGGAGTTGAAGAATTCGAGTCCGGCGTCGGAAGTTGCAAACTTGCAACAAGCCCGCCTTGTCATCCTTGCACTGAAACTCCACGGCCCAACTGCCGTCCTCTTGGCAAAATTCGTGCCGATGCCGGTGCACCATGCATGACCGGACTACAATATGACGACCGAGGCCCTCGAACCCAATTTCCATCGTTCACTACTTCATTCCAATCTGCTGCTCATGGAGCTTCGTGAATATTCGAGAATCCTCAGATTCCCTCCCTCCGAAAGCATAAATTCCAGAGCCTCGGGGCTGTGCATGGTGTAGCCGCTGCTCCGAAAGATGAAATACCAGCTCTGGTCCCTGAGACTTCAGTGGCTACACTCTCTGCAGTGTTGGCGAAGCCACATGCTGAGAACACATGCTGAGAAGACATGCTGAGGAACGATGAGATGCTCTAATTCCTCCAATCTCTCGCGAATATATCCGTGCAGCTTCCGGACCAGCACCCTTAAGAGAGGCACCTCACAAATGTTGGCCGGATCCAACACATGTATGTCGATGTCGCCGAGAACCACTTTCCGTAGTTTCGGATCTCAATGCCAGTGTTCACCTCACAGAGTCACAGTGTCTTTTAGGTCTTTCCCAAGCTTGGCGAGAAGCCTTTTGTACTCCTACAATCAGGCACAAAATCATGCGTGCAGGTTCACCCCGGTGAGGTCGGCCGCCGTCCCCCCTGCCCGCGACATCGTGGTGGAGGGCTGGAAGCCGCTGACCTGGATGGATGGCTTTTGCAACATCTGAAAAACTGCCTTGAAACAGAATCTTTTGGTCACACACTGTCAAAAAAAAACAAACGCGGCCGAAAGCAGATTCCCCGCAATAGAATTCCGTTTGAGAAGCCTCGACTGTCTTCGAAGGGCGCAAGTCTTCACTCGCGTTGGGGCCTCCGGCGCTTGCATTGATTTTCAATGTGCCGATGCCATTATGAGAACTTGCCTTAGAATTTCACACCCAGAAGGCCTCCCGTCTCGTTCCTCAGTCACACAAAATGAAAGAAAGGCAGGGTCTGAATAGTGCTCAGGCGTCTCACAAGTCCAAGGCTCTCGAAGGTGAGCCTAAGCGTGGGAACTCCGGCTCGTCGAGGCCTTGGAATCCGGCAAGCCACATCCTCGGCAGTCGTAGCAACAGAGTTCAGTCCTTCAAAGTTCTTGCCTTTGCCTCTGAAGAACTCAGTGGACTTCACACAAGTTCAAGCTCGGCTTCTGTCGTGTTGGCACAAAGGTGCCGAAGAACTCTGATGGCACCAGCGCAACATTTTGATCCTTGGCTGTAAATCTAGCGGACGGCTCGTGTAGCTGCGTAGCTCGTCACATGGTGTAGCTGTAGCACGCTGTAGCATGCTGTAGCATGTACGCAGACCAGTCACTGCCACCGGGGCGGTAAGAGCACTTGTCGCCTCCGCAGGTGCCACACTCCGGGCTGCAGCAGACATCGTTCAAGGGAAGGCCGCGCTGGCAGAAGACGGTCTGGCAGGGCAGTGCAGATGGTCATAGCGGTCATAGCGGTCATAGCGGTCACTTGATGTGCAGCAGTTTCGCCAGTGCTCAGTGCTAACGGCTTTCTGCTCTCCATGCACAAGCGTAGGCCTGACCCTCTCGCACAAAGCAATCACGCTCGTCCTCCAAAGACCTGCACGGTTTGTTTTTCTGCATGGCGAAGCCCCGTGCCACATCGAAAGACCCCACAACACGCCAGAGCCTGGTAGGTATCCATATGTTGCTGTGGAAAACACAGCTACCAGCGGAGGCCCCAGAGCGTATGACCTTCCAAACGAGGCTGCCTTGAAATGCCTTCATGTACATAATTGTACATAGCAGCACAAGCTGATGTTCCTCTCGTAGATTCTGACGCGCTCTGCTGTCTAGTCGGCCTCCACCGCAGCACAGTCCAGGCGCGCAGCACACTGGGCTCGGCAGCGCTGCTCCGATCCGCGCGCCCTCGCCAGGTCTTCAAGCTCGTAGCCTTGGGGCCGGGCCAGTGTCAGGGCAATCTAGCCGACCTCTCACACACTAATCAGGCAGGGATTCACTTCAAAAAAATTTCCCCATGCATGTGAGCTCAGCGGTTTCGGGTGCAAGCCAAGATGCCTCCACACGCTTTGCCGGCGTATTTGGTGAAATCCGTGAAGAAGTATCTGCAACGACGATGAGATTGCTGAGAATGTCTCGACTGGTGCTTTGGCACTTGCTTGGCTCCACAAGCACCGAGTCCGTGGCTTGAAGCCATCGAAGGATATGCGAAAGAAGCCCACACCTGCAGACGTCTCCCCACAAAAATCTCCCCACATAAGATGCAATCTCTTTGCCCCAGCAAACAGCGACACTAAGCCATGTCTACCGACTTCTGCTGACAGGTGCCCCCGGGTATCTCCGATGCCCTTTGGACCGTTCCTGTCCTACGTTGACAAACCCTCAATCTCGATTTGTTGACTTTAGCCAATGCATTTCTGGGCGATCAATCCGCCTTTGCTGCCATAATTCTCCAGGATCTCCATCTTCAGAAACCGCGCAGTGATTGGAACGTCAAACACATGTTCGGAGAAGGCATGCTTCTCTGCCTGGGCATTCGGTCAAGACGACGGCCCGCACAAGTGTCAACTAGCGATCTCGGAACATGCAGAAGACTCGACACACGTTGCAACAAGTTCACACAAGCGATGCCAAAGTGTATTTTACAGAAAGTAATTAGGCTGGCCGGGGCACGGAGGAAGAGCCCTCTGCAGTGTTGGGTAGATAGAGGACTTGTGAAGGCACCCAGTCTCCGTCGACGCTGCTGCTTCCACTAAACAGGACTTTCCGGACGGCTTCCTGAGAAACGTAGTTGTGGAATCCTCAGCTCTTGCCAGGTTCGCTTTTTCTGGGTCAAAAGTGCAAGAGAAGGCCTTGTCCAGAGCCAAGCATCGCACGCGAGTGACTGTGAACTTCTCCTCCAGATCGAAAACCAGCCATGCGTTTCCACAGAGGCTGCCGGATGCAGAGCCGTTGGACTCGCCAGTGCCCCTGCAGGCCTGATGCTGCCACAAAATCAACAAAATCCTAACTTTGCTCATCCTTGCGGAGCGTGGAACACAGAGAGCGACCTACTGAAGCTCACCAGCGCTTCCACGGGCAGAACACCGCAAGCTTCAACAGTGTACAGTAGACATACACAGACGTAGGTGGAGATGTAGGTTTACTGAAGTGGGCGTTAGGAAAGTGAAAGTTGTGCTGTGCTCGCGTAGACGAATATTGAGCACCAAGAAGTGAATATAGTGGGGTTCTTCATTCTTTATAACCTTACTGTCAAGCTGTGTGAATAATATGTATTATTGCACGGCAGAAAATACCGACATTTGTTTTTCCTCACGCAAATATGACTGTATGGCATGCCCTGGAATTCCATGTAGTTTTGCGTCGCCTATGTAGTACGAACATTAACATTGCTCTATGAAAACTGTGTGCGCGTGCGTGTGCGTGTGCGTGTGCCTGTGCGTGCGCGTGTGCGTGTGCGTGTGGGTGTGGGTGTGGGTGTGGGTGTGGGAGTGGGTGTGGGTGTGGGTGTGGGTGCGGTTGCGGTTGCGGTTGCGGGTGTGCGTGTGCGTGTGCGTGCGCGTGCGCGTGCGCGTGCGCGTGCGCGTGCGCGTGCGCGTGCGCGTGCGCGTGCGCGTGCGCGTGTGCGTGTGCGTGTGTGTGTGTGTGTGTGTGTGTGTGTGTGTGTGTGTGTGTGTGCGTGTGCGTGTGCGTGCGCGTGCGCGTGTGTGGGTGTGGGTGTGGGTGTGGGTGTGGTGTTGGG